CTGTTGTTTTGAGAGAAAGATTCGATCACGCCCAGGGGCGTAGTGACACCCTGGGCTGTGTACAGGGGGTGGGGCCAGGGGGTCCAGGGATTTGGGTGTTATTGTCAAAATTTTTCGGGGGAGAGGCCCCACAGACCCCCCTTCGCCGTGCTCGCAAGTTTGGGTACGGTCTTAGGGACCCCCCCTGGTAAAATCCTGTAACACGCCCTGGCGCCGGTGATGGGTTCGAACGACGTTGCCGGGGGTAATGGACTCTGCGCTGCGCACGCCGGCCGATTAAGATTGCCGGCGTTTCATCCGATTCAAACGAGGATTTCTCGTTGTTTTTACCAGCCGTTTTCATTTTTCTCGACCGTTCTGATACTTAGCGATAATTCCTTGTGTAACGCAAAGTGTATGTAGTAGGCTGAGAGGGTCTATGTCCCCCAGGGTACTGCCGGAACGGTACCCTGGGGAGTATTGGTCGTATACCGGGAACGTACCTGTATCAGCAGCATATAAATCAAGTGAATTTATTGCTCTGTGGTACTATCTAATTATGCCGACCGTACCTCGCCTACTCCACATAACGAGTCTTCGGAGATCGCCTACGCTACTCCCTAACCCTAACCATACAGATAGTTACCAGGCGTACGTTCCGGGGTTTATACCGGACGTACAGGGCTACGTTCCGGCAGTACCACTGGGGGACATAGACCCTATCACAGGCACTCGCGACTGGACTCTGGTCGGGTTCGCATAAATAGCAACCCCGTTCTGCCCTACCGTAGTGTGTATAAGAGTATATATGATGAGTCGCCGAAATTTCAGATTATGATTCTCGACATCGCGCTCATCGATTAAGACGGTGGCCACCTACCCACAAGATCTTTTTGCTTGCGACGAGGGAAGACAAGTGCGCTCCACTGCGGCCGCAGATGCTTCATCGAGCCATTGCTGCGTGTGAGCGAGCGTTTCTATGTCGCTGACGTCAAACACGACGATAAGGACTGCAAGAGAGATGACACTAATCGATCACCGTGGCAACAAGGAGAGGAACACGAAGAAACGATTTAATTTTTCGGTTCGCAAATTTTTGTCGTTTTTCATCAACCCTGGAGCAGGCAAGCATTGCAAGCATGCACGCGCGCGCATGCACGCGCACACGCGCACACACACACACACATACTCGCCACCCGCACACACTCGCCACGCGCACCCATCGCACGGTGCAACACACGCATACACACACACATGCGCAACACGGCACATACACACCGCATCACACTACACTCGCACACACACGCGCACACACACACATCTTTTACGGATGTGGAACATTGCCCTCACCAGAATCACGTTTCAAGGTTTCACGTCGCTATAATAAACTGCTGCAACCTGCGACGAGGGAGCAAGACATCACAGACGTACGATCGAGACAACGTACCGCGAGGGAGCTACATCGCAGAACGTCGATGCGAGCAATGTACCGCGAGGGAGCCACATCACAGAGTACGATCGAGACAACGTACGCTGAGGGAGCTACATCAGCGACGTAACGATCGAGAACGTACCATGAGGGAGCGACATCACAGACGTACGATCCAGATGAGACGGGATACTAGAGAAGCGTTTGCCGAAAGGAGATGTTGATCCCAATTGCGTCTGAAGCGCAGATTCTTTCGCGCAGTTTCCGGGGCGGGCAAGGCGCACGGCGACCGCTGGGAACGCCTACGACAGTAGTTGCAGCGCTGGCAGCTAATGGATCCGTGCGCGAATGGAATTGCGCGAAGCGCACGGATCCATGCTGCCCAGCCGAACAGTTCCGCCAATTTTAGTGGCCGGGACACAGAGGGTAGACACTTTGGGAGTCAACAGTGTATGACTTGCTATAAAAAACTGTAACGAGTAATCTGTTCGTAACCGAGCTGTGTGACGCGAAATCAAGAGACAAGACTGTCGAGAATTCTGACATTCGCGAACCTTGCCAGTAATGCAAACGGCTGTGCAGAACTCACGAAACACCTCCGGCGACTCTATCGCCGCACCCAACGCGTGCACGTTTTGCATAGTTCAATGCGAGGCGTCGAATACGGAGTCTGGAAGCAGTGCGCCGCGCGCCCGCCGCCTATAGCCCGATAGACTGCACTCTCTCGCCACCTCGTCGGCTAGCTGAGATCACTCAATGGCTAATCGAGGTGGAAGCGAGTCCTAGTCTATTATATAAGCCTTTGACCTCGCAACCTTCTTGAACGGAGAGTAGGCCTATACTAGAAAACATGAACATGTTCGTAGTAAATAGATTTGCGTATTTTAGTAGCATTATATTTTATTTAAACGCCCTTCAAGTGCCTGCTGATCTGTATAGCCTAGGGGTATTCTAACCCTAGCAAAGAGCGTTTTCTTGCTAGTCGTTATAGTAGTCTAGTAGTTACTAGTGGTTCTAAGGATAGAGAACATGACTCCCGATATGGTATGGGCCCAATGTATGGCATAGGCCAATAAAACCATGTCATTACATCAATCTAAATATAATCTAATCAATATAATAGGTTAGCGTTATGGTTAGGCGTTCTGTCATAGCTCTAGTTACTATAGCCGCTTACATTAACTGCGCTGCAGCACTGTGGACCGCTTCGCACCGCCATGATAACGCCAGCGGCAGTTAATCGTAAGCGGCTTATAGTACTAGAGCTAGGTTCGTCATTATTAGTAAGTTAGTTAATACTAGTAACACGGTTAAGTATTTATTCACTATTACTATTAGCTCTGCGGTCCTGGTAGTTACTGAGTACTTAGTAATAGTAGCTGCTGGTACTTAGTAGCTATACTGACTTACTAGTCACTAGTTAGTAGTAGTAGTTGCGGTCGGGCAACAAAGCATCTTTTGCGCAACGCCATCTTGTACACGAGTCTCTAGTGCGCTAGTGCTCAGTCTAAACGTAACTGATGATCAGTGTGATGCTGTACGTGGGGCTTGATCTTCCCACAGGCCCCTATATCTAACACGATCCCCCAATGCGAGCACCGAAGGTTGTGAGAAGGTAGGACACACAATTTCACGGCTTTATCAAATTCGGACCTTTTTTTAGATAAAAAATGATGAAGTTTCAATTAAACATACATGTGCTACACGTTCTTAGTTTGATTGTTGTCTCCGCGCTCTTTGTTGAACTCGTCAACTTCATGTTTTACCAGCGAATATAGGCATATTATTCCGATATTTGGTTGAAAAATTAACAGTTCCCACACGGTTAGAAAATGGCGGCGATTGGTTTAGATTTTTGTCCTATTCAGGTGGCGGGGCATTCCATGACTTGCCACGCCATGACCGCCATTGTACGTGTGGACGGTTATTTTTTGACTTGGCGACGGATTTTACTCTCCTTAACGCTGACAAAATGTCATCGACAGTTGCCAAAACATATACATTGGGGATTAGCCTACAACAAAGTAGAGAATTACGGGGATGCTACATATTTTTATTGGCATCAAAAACTTTCATTGATATCGGACATTCGTGAAATTGTAGTTCCTACCTTCTCACACCTTCGTGCTCGCTTGGCGTGGGATCCGTGTAGATACTAGGTGCCGGGATCTTCCTGCCAGTGCTGGTTGATATGCAAACACGTCAAGGCGCTAGGTCTGAGAGGAGATGCGAGCGCGGGTCAACAAGGTTATAAGGAGGAAGGAAGATGGCTACGATAATAAAAAGCGACGTCACGATTTCAGCCTGCCGTGTCCAATTGACTGGTACGGGACGTTCATTACGCCCAAGTATCTTACTCGCACACTAAAGTATAGTAAACTCGAGGTTTACAAAACTCTCACCGGCGGCAGTCTAAGCCTAATTTGCGTTCTTTCTGTTGGGAAATTCTCTCCAACATCCCTCGAACGAGAGACTCGTCCCGCCGCCATCTACGGGTAGCGATAGTACCAGAATAAAGTCACTGGCCGTGTAATTAAAGACATTCCGAAATCCCTTTTACCAAAAAAACGAAACGCGCCAACCAAAAAAAAAGTTCAATTTACGGGACCATTGGCATTATTCTCGCCCTACGTCCATAATCCAAAACGTTGTTGCAAGCGCCACAACTCCCTGAATTGCCCCGATTACAGCGCCCATTTGGACATAACCATTGAAAATCGTTCATTAATCGTAAGACAGCGAGTTATCTGAAATTGGCGCCAACAGGGTGGCGCCGAGCCGCGCTTCGCGCGATATCCGCTTGCAGACTGTCGACGACAACGTACCGTGAGCGCAGTACATCCCAGACGTACGACGAGGCACAACGTAACGCGAGGCAGCTACATCACTGACGTAGACGATCGAGACAACCGTACCGTGCAGGTAGCTAACATCACAGACGTTACGATCGAGACAACTGTACCGTGAGGAGCCGACATCCAGACGTAACGATCGAGACAACGTACGTGAGGGAGCTACATACAGACGTCATGATCTAGACAACGTACCGTGAGGTTAGCTACATACACAGACGTACGACGAAGATCAAGTACCGTGAGGAGCTACATCACAGACATACGATCGAGACAACGTACCGCGACGGGGAGCTACATCAGCAGAACTGGTACGAATCGAGACAACTTTTACGCGACGAGGTACAATCACAGACGTACGATCGAGCAACCGTACCGCCTGAGAGAGCTACATCACAGACATACTCGATCGAGACAACGTACGCGCGAGGGAGCTACATCACAGATGTACGATCGAGACAAGTACCCACGAGGGAAGCGGACATTCACAGACTACGATCGAGACGTACTGTTGGGGAGCCTACATCACAGACATACGATCCGCCAAGACAACCCTACCGTGAGGAGCTACATCACAGACGTACGATCGAGACAACGTACCGCGAAGGGAGCTAACATCACAGACGTAACGATCGAGAACGCTACCGTGAGGGAGCCTACATTACAGACGTACGATCGAGACAACGTAGCGTGAGGAGCTACATCACAGACGTACGATCGAGACAACGATACGCGACTGGGAGCGACATCCAAGACGTACGATCGAGACAACGTACTATCGCGAGGGCAGCGACATCACAGCACGTACGATCGAGACAACGTACCGCGATGGGAGCTAATCACAGACGTAGCAATCGAGACAACGTACCGTGAGGCGAGCTACATCACAGAACGTCCGATCGAGACAACCCGATTACGGAGAGCTGTATCACAGACGTACGATGAGACAACGTTACGCCGAGAGCGGGTAATCACGACGTTTACGATCGAGACACGTCGTGAGGAGTACATCCACATACGTACGATGCGAGATCAACTACCGCAGGGAGTACATCACAGACGTACGATGCCGAAGACAACGTACCGTGAGGGAGCTACAGTCACAGATGTACCGATCGAGACAAACGTACCTGCGACGGGAGCTACATCACAGACGTACAATCGAGACAAAGCGTACCGTGAGGGAGCTACATCACAGACGTCACCGATCGAGAAAACGTACCGCGATGGGAGCTACATCACAGACGTACGATCGACGACAAGTTACCCGGCGGGAGGCTACATCACATGACGACGATCGAGACAACGTACCGTGAGGGTAGCTAATCAACCAGCGTCGATCGAGACAACGTACGCCGAGGAGCCGAACATCACAGACGTAACGATCGGAGACAAGTACCGTGAGGGAGCATACATCACAGACGTCGCAATCGAGACACGTACCGGTGAGGGAGGCTACATCACAGAACGTAACGATCGAAGACAACGTACCGTGGAGGGGAGCTACATCACAGACGGTACGATCGAGACACGTACCGTGAGGAAGCTACTCACAGACGTACGATCGAGACAAACGTTACCGTGAGGGAGCAAGGACATCCTGACGTACGATCGAGGAAACGCTACGTGAGGGAGCCTACATCACAGGACGTACGATCGACGACAACGTACCGCGACTCGGAGCGACATCACAACGTACGATCGAGACAAGCTACGCGAGGGAGCTTAATCATCACAGAACAGTACCGATCGAGACAAGCGTACGTGAGGGAGTACATACAGACGTACGATCGTAGGGACAACTACGCGAGGGAGCTACATCACAGACGTACGATCGAGACAACGTACCGTGAGGGAGCTACATCACAGACGTACGATCGAGACAACGTACCGTGAGGGAGCAATACATCACAGACGTACGATCGAGACAACGTATCGTGAGGGAGCTACATCACAGACGTACGATCGAGACAACGTACCGCGAGGAAGCTACAGCACAGACGTACGATCGAGACAACGTACCGTGAGGGAGCTACATCACAGACGTACGATCTAGACAACGTACCGCGAGGGAGCGACATCACAGACGTACGATCGAGACAACGTACCGCGAGGGAGCGACATCACAGACGTACGATCGAGACAACGTACCGTGAGGGAGCTACATCACAGACGTACGATCGAGACAACGTATCGTGAGGGAGCTACATCACAGACGTACAATCGAGACAACGTACCGTGAGGGAGCTACATCACAGACGTACGATCAAGACCAGGCCTCGAATTAAGCGACGAGAGGGGCAAGGCAATTTTTTGGGGGCATGTGAGAAATTGCCTTAAATTTTCTCTAAAATGGATGGGCACCGAGGCAATTTTAAAAGGCATCAAGGCAACTCTCACAATTTGAGAAGGGCACCAAGGCCATTGTTATGAAAAACTTTGTGTCATCGTATGAATTCTACTAAAATTTCTCTAAATTTACTGCACTTAGCAAGCGCACACCGTACAGATCACTGGCCATTCTTGCGCGAGCGTCGTTTCCCGCGCTTTAAATCGCACGCGGGCCGAGTTCGGGCGTGCAGCATTTAAATATTCGTGTTCTACCACGGGCATACACAGGTGCACGATTTATCGATCGTCTACTGGCAGCGGTTGGCAGCAATACCACGTTATTGTTTTTACCGAAGGGTAGACTGGTATCCGGCCTCACGCTCTGCATGCTAGACAATGTACACGCTCTGTGATAAACAGTGCGGCCGCGAACGAGTCTAGCCAGAGGCACCGACGGCAATTACAGAAAAGGGCAAGGCAGGTCACTGCCGTCGGTCGGGTTGGATTTTCAGGGGCAGTACGGCGATTGATAGGGGCACCGCCGGCAATTGCCGTCGGTGCCGCCGGTTAATTCGAGCCCTGATCAAGACAACATACCGTGAGCACCCCTGTAGTACGACGCCGCTATGCACTTGAATCGTTCCTGTCCGGCCGTGTCCCACCTGTGCAAACAATCACAATTTAATACAATAATACAACAATTCAATAATAAAACAATACAATACTACAACTATACAGTACAACAACAATACACTAAACCAATAATACAATACTACAACAATACCGTACAACAATACAATACTGTAACAATAAAATAATACAACAATACAATAATATAAAAATACAATACTACAACAATACAATAATACAATCATACAATAATACAACAGTGCTCGAAATAAGAATAAAAATGTGGTTGTCCTGCGGACAACCCAGGCATCAAATCGGGTTGTCCGCAACAATTTCTGGTTGTCCCAAAAAATATCCCCAAATCTTCTATTTTCAATCACATAATAATATGATCAGAAAACACCCAAAAACAGTGGCGTAGCCAGGATTTTTTAACAAGGGGGCCAAAAACAGCAAACTACGCAAAATAGTGGATGACTTAATATTTTATTGGCTCCTAGCTCCGCCTCCCTCTCCACACCCTACGGCTCCTCTACCTCTCAGCTCTGCAATCTTTGTTTTCGGCGACATTTTTGTTCATTGTTCTCTGCTCCCAAGATATGTAATTGTTTAGTGGTGGGTCAGGGGTCACAGGGAGGGGTGGAAAAAAAGGCGGGGGGGTATGGGGGCCCCCCCCCCAGCAAATTTTGGAAAC